TGCACAGCACCTAGGGCCAGGAAAGATGGCCTTGACCTGCTGGTCCTCCCTCCCTCCCTCCTCCCCTTTCCCTCCAGGACTTTATGCTGGGATCACTCCTGGTGGTGTTCAGACCCTCCCCGCTGTACTATTTCCATCCCTGGAGCAGGATTCTTCACTGCATCTTGGTGACATCTGTCCCCTACCCCCAGTTTTAGTGGCCACTGAATCCAATATACTATCGTACAGATAAGGAAGCAGAGAGTGTGGGTGGGAGACAGTGTCAGGCTGTGTCCCACCCGCCCATGTGCCCCAGAATTGTCAGAAAAGAGAGGTTCCACCTCTGAGAAGTTCCTGGGTTCTGACTGGAGCCGGGCCATCCGGGGACCCAGCTCCCTGGGGACTTAAGCATTTGCCAGCTGGACTTCAGGTCCCTACTCCTCCAGGCGCAGTCCCAGGACCTGACTGCTCCCCTACTTCTTCTTGGGGGGCTCAGGACTCTAGAGACCATGGGGAGCAGACCTGGGAGCCAAGAGCTGTGCCTGGAGGTGTTCGGATGACAGCAGACTTTCCTGTCGTAAAGGAAAGGACTGTTCAGGGAAGCTCAGGGCCAGTGGCTTTAGCCTGTTTATCCCCTGGACCCCCAGTGGCCTCCCCTCTGTGCAATAGATAGAACCCACTCTCCCCCACAGTCCCCCTGACTGAGACCCCTGCACATCCCCTGGATGGTCACTCCCAGCTGCTGAGCTGTCTGAAGGGACCGAGCTTGGCCCCATCACTCCAGGCCAGTTAAATCCCAATGTGGAGTTGGATTTGGCACTAGGGATGGGGGGGTCCCCTGGGATCTAGCCCAGGGCCTCCTGCCTGTGAAGCAGCTGCTTCTTCTTAGGGACACAGCTCCTCCTCGGCTGCCACATCCTAGGGTGACACAGATGTGCCGCCACAGGATTCAGCCAGCTGGCTTGGAGGAAGATGTTGTTGGCCGCACACACGCTTGGAGTATTTCTGAAACCCTTGAAGATACCATACAAATGCACCAAAGGCAAATATAATTAGGAAGGCACGTCTGTGAGAGGGGACAAGAATGTGAGGGGGTGACACTCCAAGGCCAAATTGGAGAGAGCCAGGGAGCTTGTGAGGGAATGCAGAGCACCATTGTCATTTTAATGAACAGAGTTTTTACTTACCTGTGCAGAGTAGATAATTGACTCACGCGGGGCTGCCTGTTTCTGCCTTTGCTGGAGACAGGGAGTTTCTGGGTAGCTGAGCTTCTTCCTGTGAATCCTTTTTCCTTTTATCACGGGAGGAGCAGTTTCTTTGAAACGATGACACTCCCCTGCTTCCTGTACCAGGTATTCCAAATCCTGTGTCTCTTCTTCCTGACAGTTTAATCATCTCTCGTGAGCCATGTTGCTTTGCTGTGTTAATCTGCAAACATTTGCTGATTATTTCCATGTTTTCCTCCTGTGATGTAGACACTGCATGTTTTTAGGAGCCCGACCAAATTCATTCACTCACACAGAAACAACGGATACCAGTGTCTACACACACATAAACAGACACATGCACAGTCTCACACACACTCAGATACCATAAACACACATACATACACTCATACACACGCATTCATGCATATTCATACACATACACACGCATGCAAACACACTCATACCTACACTCACACAAATGCACACTCATATGCACACACATAAACACGCATTCACACACAAATATACACCCATTCACGTATACACACACTCGTACGCATCCACAACAAACACACGCACACTCAGGCAATCACACACCTACACAGGCACATGCACACTCTGCACGGGGCTCTGATGCCCGAGGTCAGCTTCATAAAGGGGCCCTTCACCCCATGCCCCTGCCCTCATTGGCAGCTTCACAGGCTCCTGATAAACTCCAGTTTCTGTTCCCACGTCTCTGCCCAGCCTAGGGCAGGATACCCTGTGCCCAGTCAGCCCTGCACAGCCTGCTCCAACTGCCCCTGCTCCTACTCCCTCTGCTTCTACTCCCCCTGCTCCAACTGCCCCTGCACCTACTCCCCCTACACCAACTCCCCCTGCTCCTACTCCCCTTGCTCCAACTGCCCCTCCTCCCATCCTCTCTGCTCATCTGCCTCTCCTCTACTCCCCCTGCTCCAACTCCCTCTGCTCCATCTCCCCTTGTTCTACTCCCCAGTATCCCTCATCCAGTGCCCAGTCCCTCCCCCCACCGAGTGTCCAGTTCTCCCACACAGCCCCCCTCACACAGCCTGCAGGAACACTAACTGACTTGGACAGCAGCTGCTTGCTGCAGAGCCCTGGGCAGTGGGCAGGGACCATGGCCGGCACTAACAGCCCCGGCTTGCTCTGCCTCCTGGCTATTGGTAATGAGCAGTGAGGAAGTGGCTGGTCTCCTGCATGTCCCTGCCTTTTGCTCTGCAGTTGCCATGCTCTGGGGTGGGCCCAGTTCCCTGCAGAGGGTCGAGGGGAGCCAGCAGTTCTGGCTGCTCCTGACTGTGGCCTCAGGACTCACTTCCTCTCTCCAATCCTTAATTTCCCTTCTGTCAACTAGGGAAGAGCAAAGCCCGACTCTGGGATGGTGTGTGCATCCACGTGACCTGGAGAGCTTGGCTGGGTCCTGTCTGCTGTCTACATTTCCTTTTCTTTGTCACTCTAAACACAGACTTATATCTAGGAATATAGGGAAGGGCAAGGCAGAGAGGTCAGTGGTTTGGGGGTAACTGGTGGTAACTGGAGGGGTGTTACCTCCCACCAGAACTTGCAGTACCAGTCTGATGGTTCGACACAGGGTGACCAGGCCCCCAAGCACAAAGATATGTGCTCTTCAGCCCCAAGGTAGGGTTCTCATAGGGACCGGGGTTTGGGGCTTTTTCATTTTGCCCGTTGTTCTGTGATGCCAGGGACACAAGCCACAGTGTCAGCCCTGTGAAATCTGTGCTCACCCATTGCGTCACGACCCTGAACTGCTGTCTGCAGCAAGCATGATGTAGCCAGGCCTGCAGAGATGCTCAGAAGCTTTGTTGAGGGTCTGAATTTGGTTCCCAGCGCCACAGACCCCCTGGGCACCCCCTAGGAATGAACCATGAGCACCGCCAGATAGAGTCCAAAATAAATTCAATCAAGAAGTACTTGTCACTGATGTTACAACAAAATCATATCCTATGTCCTTTGATCTATGCGACATTGACTGCATGTGCTTGGCAATGAAATGAGAAAACCCGTAAGGCAGAGAACAGAGTCACTACTCTGCGGGTCTGTCCAGGGGAGGAGTGGGAGGAGAGGTTGATGCCTGAGTCCTCGGTCACCCTCTTCTGTGGGAGTGAACCTCATTTTCGCCAGACTCTACAATAGGTGGAGCATCGGGGGTGATATTTGACTTAATCCTGCATGTGGGTGGATACTTGGGGGGTAGAGGAAGGGGACAGGGAATCAGGGGACCTCCTCAAAAGGTTGGACATCGGCTACTTGGCCCTGGTGGACAAGTCCTCATCCCAAGATCCAGGATGCTCACGGCACGGTGCTCAAGGCTATGCTCATGGCCAGGTGCTCAAGGCCAACACTGAGCTGAACCCAAGGCACCTCCTAGTCCCACTCACCTGCCTCCTTTCTCGAAAAGCATCAAAACCCAGAATCAAGAGAGTAACAAAGAGCAGCTGACATCTCCTCTTCCCGGGGGTTGTACCTGGGGCCTCAAGCACGGGAGACAGCACCCCAGCCCCTTTCTCCCCTTTAGGCGGGAGGGTGACCAGCATTCGCAGGCCTCAGCCAGGCAGGTGGCCACATGGCACCGTCCCCAATCCGCCCCCCAGGTCACTTCAGGTGTCTCTCTCTGTCTCTGTGTCTCTGTCTCTGTCTCTGTGTCTGTCTCTCTCTCTCTCTCTCTCTCTCCATCTGTTTTTGGAGCCACACCTGGCAGTGCTCAGGGCTTACAGGAAACTCTATTCAGAGGTCACTCCCAGTAGGGTTTGGGGGAGCACATAGGATGCCGGGGGTGAACTGCATGCAAAGCAGCCTCATGCAAAGCAGGCGCCCTACCTGCTATATTCCCGCTCTGGCCTCTGAGATGCTTCTCTTCTCTCAGGCCTTTCCCGAGCACGCTCTCCACTGGGCTTGTCAAGAACTGTGCCTGTTGGTGCCTGTCCTCAACCCCCCACCCCTGCTCCCTGACTATAGGAATGGCTCGAGTACCTCCCGGGCTAAGTTGGTGCCTATTGGGCAGGACATTGGGTCGGCTCTGCTTCTGGGCCCTTGGGGGGGTTTGGGGGGGGGGGAAGCACTTCCTGCCAAGTTGGCTCCCAGCATCTCTGAGGGGTCTGGAAGGTTGTCTGTCAACTCCAAGGAAGCATTTCTTTTTCCTGCTACTTCTGAAGCTGACCACATAAAAAAAGCAGTGAGATGCATGTAAAGATGAAGCAAGGAGGGTGTGGGCAGTCCTGGAGGAGTGAGGAGAGAGGAGGTGAGGGTAGGAGAGGGCAGGACTTAAAAGACAGGTGAAGAGAATGAGATCCGAGAGAATGAGATTTTCAATGAGAAAATTAATGAATTTCAGGAAGAGACTAAGTGCTCCTGAGCTTAGAAGGGGGAACAGGATGAGCCTGGGAGGTTCCAAACAGGAGGGGCTTCAGGGGTCCCAGAGAAGAGTGGGGCGGACCAGAAGAGAAAGGGTGTTCTGAGAGGACCAGATGCAGCCAACTATGAGCTGTGCCGACTTCGGCTCCAGAGAATCCATCCAGGACCGGGATTAGGGGACAGAAAGTCCCCGCTGAGCTGTACGATGTGGCCAGAAGCTTCTGGCCCGCCTGGAACATGGTCATCCTGGCTCGGTGGACCTTGGGGTACTTAACGGAGGCAGTGGCCTGACAACACAATCTCGCGGAGGAGCGCCAGCGAGAAGCCGCCAGACTTGGGAAGGAATGCCACCAACCCCAGCCCAGGGGAGCCCACCAGGCAGGGGAGTGCAGCCTTGACCATGTCCTCTCTCCTGCTCTCTTGCAGGCTGCGACAGCGACCACTGGGGTCCGCACTGCAGCAACCGCTGCCAGTGCCAGAACGGCGCCCTGTGCAACCCCATCACCGGCGCCTGCGTGTGCGCGGCCGGCTTCCGTGGCTGGCGCTGCGAGGAGCTCTGCGCACCCGGCACCCACGGCAAGGGCTGCCAGCTGCCGTGCCAGTGCCGCCACGGTGCCAGCTGCGACCCACGCACGGGCGAGTGCCTCTGCGCGCCCGGCTACACCGGAGTCTAGTGCGTGAAGGGCGGGGTGGGCTCGGGTGGGCGGGGTCTAGTGCGTGAGGGGCGGGGCGGGCTCGAGTGGGCGGGGTCTAGTGCGTGAAGGGGTGGGGCGGGTTTGGGGGGACTAGTGCATGAAGGGGTGGGGTGGGCTCGGGTGGGCAGGGTCTATGCGTGAAGGGGCGGGGCGAGCTCGGGCGGGCGGGATCCAGTGCGTGAGGGGGCGGAGCATGTTCAAGTGGGCGGGGTCTAGGGTGTGGAACGGGTGGGAGGGATTTAGTGGGCGGAGTGTGGGAACAGGAGCACCCCCATCCCCTGCCACCCACCCCAGGAGTCCTGGCTGCTCAGTCTCCAGCACTCCTACCCCAAGCCCCTGTGGGACTCGGGAAACCCACTTTCTCACAGGGATCCCACCCACACTTGGATTCTTGTCTAGTAATCTAGTGCTCCTCCGGCTCACCTGGGCCTGAGCAGAGAAGGGCGCTGGGCAGAGGCGTACAGATTGAGGACTTTATCTGTTCCACTCCTGCCTTTCCCGCCTGAGCCTCCACATCCTCTCCCTCCAGTTCCCTGGAGCATCCACATTGACAGGGCACCCCCAAAGCTGGACGGCCTCAGAGACAAGTTCCACATTCTTATCCCCCCACCCTTGAAAACTGCCAGTAACCCTGGACTGTGAGGGTCACCCAAGGGCACCGAACAATCACAGCACGGAATGAGGGTGCTGCTGCCCCTGGCCAGCTCCAGGAGGAAATAGAGGCCATGACGCAAAGCATGTCCTGGTCCTCCCCACAGCAGTGCTCACAGTTTACGCATGGTCCTGCCATGTAGCCAGGAGCTTTCGGGTTTCAAAAACCCGAAAGGTGGGGGCCATGTCCAGATTCCTCCTCTCTGAATGCAAAGTCCACAGGCCTGGGGGGTGCCAGCAGTCTCCCGTGCCTTTCCCGGAGCTTCCTCCTGTCTGCAAGCCCTTTCCCTTTCCCCCAGTGTCCCCCTCCTCCCCTTCAGGTTCCCTCTTCTGGAGCTCCAGGCCTTCCCTGCTTTATTGGAAAGCTCTTAAGTCACATGCAGGACGTGGAAGCAGGACTGAGGCCCCAGGACACTACAGCTCAGTAGCTCTGCGCCCTGCTTCCCCCTCCAAGCAGGCAGGAGAGCTGCACCTCCCCCATTCCCTGATGGGAAAAGGCTCATCCCCTGAGGAGCCAGGACCAAGCCTGCCGCTTCTAACCGCCCTGCTCTCCCATGCAGCTGTGAGGAGGTGTGCCCAGCTGGGAGCCACGGGGCTCACTGTGAGCTGCGCTGCCCGTGCCAGAACGGGGGCTCCTGCCATCACATCACCGGAGAGTGTGCCTGCCCCCCAGGCTGGACGGTAGGTGGACCTGCAGTAGGGGTGTCCCCACTCACATACACCTTCTTTCCCTGACGCTTTCCCTTCTCTTCGGGCTCCTGGGAGTCATTAGTCACCATTGGTGGTGCCACAGGCACAGCTGTGAATCCCCGCTCTGCTGCCCAGTGCCGTTCACCTGTCAGGCAAACTTGCTTACCCTCTCTGAGCCTGAGTTCCCCAGGGTGCAGGGAGTGGAATTTCCCAGGAGCCTGTCTCAGGACCTCTCTCTCTCTCTCTCTCTCTCCCCCCCCCCCAATGTTGCAGACAGGGCTGATGGTGGGAGGGCAGGGGGCAGTTGAGCATCTGCTATTAAACTTGGCATCCCTGGTATCCACCCCACGCTCAGGAGTTCCAGGAGGCTTCTGCATCCACAAAACCAACAGAAGCATATTAAACCTCTCCCTTCCTCTTGCCCTGGGTGTGGGACCTCGGAGGGTTCAGATGAGGCTGTGCATGTCTGGAATCCCTCCACAGCACCCAGCCCCTGTCACTTCTTGTCCTCTATCCCTGGTGACCATCTCAGAGATAGACACAGACCCTGCTGGCTAGGCCCCGGAAGCAGCCCGCGGTGACCCGCTTGTTCCAGCTGCATCACTGTCTCTGCCTTCCCAGACCCGCCCCCATCCCTAGTCGCAGCCTCCTAGGGAATCCAGGCTTTGAAAGAGCTGCGTGACTCAGGGAGACCTTGAATGTGACAGGTCAGCAGGCGCAGGTGGGCGGAGTTTAGCGTGAAAGGGCGGGGCGGGCTTGGTGGGCGTGGCTAAATTAGCGTGGATGCCTGCAGGCGCACATGCAGGCACAGATTTGCCAAATTTCTTTAGAGCAGAAAATGACCAAGTGGAGGGGCTGGAGGAATAGCACAGCGGGTAGGGCATTTGCCTTGCACGCGGCCGACTCGGGTTCAATTCCCAGCATCCCATATGGTCCCCTGAGCACCGCCAGGGGTAATTCCTGAGCGCAGAGCCAGGAGTAACCCCTGTGCATCGCTGGGTACGACGCAAAATGCAAAAAAAAAAAAAAAAAAAAGAAGAAAAGAAAATGATCAAGTAGATTATATAGATCAAGGGCCAAGGGCCTCCAAACCTGATGGATGCCAGGGTTCCCGTGTGTGTGCATGTATACATGTGTGCACGGTATGGATGCCAGGGTTCCCGTGTGTGTGCATGTATACATGTGTGAACGGTGTAAATGTGTGTACACATGTGTGCATGTATATGCAAATGTGCTCACACAAGATGTGTGTGCACATGTTCGTGCAGATAGTGCACGTGTTCGTGCGGATACATGTGCTTGCAAATGTGTTTATATGTTTGTGTGCACATGCATGTGTACATATTTGTGTGTGCAAGTATTGTGTGCTATGTGCACATATGTATGTGTTTATGCACAAAGGAGGGTTAGGGTTAGGTTAGGTGCGCATGTTATACGTGCCTTTTTTGCATGTGTTCATGTGTGTTTGTACACGGATGTGTTTGCAAATGTGTGTCTGTATGCACATGTGCCAACTTTACTCATGTGTGTATACATGTGCATATGTATGTGAAACACAGGTCCCAGACTTGACCTGGGTCTCGAATTTTAATAAGCTCCCCAGATACCTCTGAGCAGCCTGCAGCTTGCAGCAGTGCCTGGAAATGATTCAGAGGAGATTCCCTTCTGTGCTTCTCAGATGCCCACGCTGTCTTGGGGGAGCCTGACAGCTGGCTCTGGTGCCCCTCAGTCCCTCTCCTCCATTTTCATCTACTTTCTACATTGAGCTTCCTGAGTCTTCAACCCTGGAATTTTAGGTGGTTGAACCCCTCTGCTGTCTTCCCCACCTTCCTTTCACAGATCGGAAGTCAAGGCCTCAAGGCCCAGCCTCCACCGAGGCCACGGTGTTGGTAAGGAGGGAGGCAGAGCTGGCCCCCCAGGTCCTGAATCCCAGGCCTGGGTGTGTGTATCTGTCTGTGTCTTCTGAGGAAGATAAGGGACTCTGCTTTGACTGCGTCCCCTCCCATCACTGCCCTTTCCTCTCTGGAGATGCCCTCTCCTCTCCAGCCAGTTTCCAGAATTCTAAGCCCCACGCAGACACCCCAGCCCACCTCTGGGCCACTGCCTAAGATGGTGGAGCCCCACGACAAGGTAGCACGGTCACATCAGCATGTGCAGGGGACAGCTGGCCATAGGCAGTCCCTGTCCCAGGGGATCCCTCTTGGAAGCAGTGGCTGGGCCTGTCGTGGAAGCGGGAAGAGGAGGAGGCCAGGACGGGCAGCTTCCTCTCCCCAGAGCCGTGAGATATTTGCTCTTTCAATGATAGGACTCTCTGTCAGCAGAACCTTTGGATTGGAGCGCTTTATGTTTGCAGTTTTATTATAGACAATCGCATTTCTATTTTTGACACAGCATTTCACTTGCAGATTTGCATGAATTATTAATATGCCTGGTGCATGCAGAGTCACCGGTAATGAAGTTGAGCTCAGGCCTGAGGCCTCTCCAGGCCTGTGTCCAAGTCAGGGGAGGCCTCCAGAGCCCCAGTGAGTCCCACCTGCAGCTCTCGACTGACAGGCTTTGCACAGAGCTGGAGAGGAGCCCCCCTGGAACTCCCCCACTCAGCCCAGGGACTCCTGACCACCGCACCCTGAGTAGGCCCTTGAGACTTCCCCAGCTGTTGTGTGATCCTCTGGGAGAGGAACTCAGCTGCCTCTCTCTGGTGGGGGGAGGGGGGATGGTGAGACCTCACACGATGGAGAACTGGGTGTAAGCACTGGGAGTGGGCATGGCAGAGAGATGGTGTGAGGGATTGATCATGTGTGCACCTCAGATGGATGGTGTAAGGGAGATGCATGCAGGCATGGCAGGGATATGGTGTGAGGGACTGACATACGCGGGGACCTCAGAGAGATGGAGTAAAGGACTGACACACACGGACATACAGAGAGGGGTGGCAGGTGAGGCAATCTACCCCGTGGTGAAGTTCCCAGTCTGAGGGAGGAGGCTGGCTATAGTGGGTGAACAGACAGACGCACAAAGGGAAACAATGGCCAGAACATGCCCATTGTGCTGAAGGCTCCGTGTGCCATCGATTCTCAGACATTGACTGTGGGGCAGGTGATTCAGGAACCCCTCCTGCTGACCTGGTCATTTCCATAGCCCAGCCCATTCATGACACACTGAGGCCCACGACCTCCCCACAGCTGGTGATAATCACACTAACTTGGGTTTCCACTACTACCATTTGGCCTCTCCTTTCTGATGATCTGTTGACAGGGTCCTCAAGGTAAGGCTGTTTCCGGACTCACCAAAGTGTGTGCAGCAAGTGCTTTAGAGAATGCCTCATTTTCTCTTCAGCCTTCGAGATAGCACAGAGTCCACAGGACATGCCTCAGTTTACCCTGGGGCAGAGCTTCATCTGCCCACACTCTCCTTACAAATCACCACAGACCAGAGGGCTTAAACAACTGAAAATATGCTTTCTCAGTCCTAGGAAATTCTCACTGAATAGAAATCTGAAGCTGAGGTTGGCCATCAAAGGATTGATCTCTTTTAAGACTTCTCTCTCTCTCTGGCCAGAGAGATGCTCAATGGGCTGAGTGACTGCTGCATGTGCAGGGGGCCTGGTTCCATCCCCGGAACCATTGGCTCGATGCCTGAGCAACACAAGAATCTCTTGTGTTTTGGTCCAACACAAAACCAAAACGTAAAGATGGCCACCGCCTCCCTGCGTCTTGACTGGTTCTTTCCTTGAGCCTTGTCCCCTATGAACAACAGCCCTGTTGGATTAGAACCCATCTCTGTGACTGCATTTCTCTTTTTTTCTTTTTTCTTTTTTTTATTGAATCACCGTGAGATATAGTTACAAGCTTTCATGTTTGAGTTATAATCACACAATGATCAAACACCCATCCCTCCACCAGTGCACATTCCCTACCACCAGTCTCCCCAGAATCCCCTTTGCTACCCTCCCCCTACCTCCATGGCAGACAGTATTCCCCATACTCTCTCTCTCTACTTTGGGGCATTATGGTTTGTAACACAAATACTGAGAGGCCATCATGTTTGGTCCTTATCTACCTTCAGCACACAACTCCCATCCTGACCAATTCCTCCACCCATCTTTTCTTAGTGGTCCCTCCTCTATTCCAGCTGCCTTCTCCCCTTTGCTCATGAGGCAGACTTCCAGTTATGAAGCAATCTACCTGTCCAGTGTATCTACTATCCTTAGGTGTCAGCCTCATGTTATGTTGTTTTATACTCCACAAATGAGTGCGGTCCTTCTATGTCTGTTTCTGTCTTTCTGACTCATTTCACTTAGCATGATACTCTCCATGTCTATCCATTTATAAACAAAGTTCATGACCTCATCTCTCCTGACAGCTACATAGTATTCCATTGTATAGATGTACCAAAGTTTCTTTAACCAGTCATCTGTTCTAGGGCACTTAGATTGTTTCCAGATTTTGGCTATTGTGAACAGTGCTGCAATGAACATATAGGTACAGATGTCATTTCTACTGTGCTTTTTGCGTTCTCAGGATCTATTCTGAGAAGTGGTATTGTGGGGTCATATGGAAGCTCAATTTCTAGTTTTTGAAGGACTGTCCATATTGTTTTCCAGAAAGGCTGGATTACTGGGCATTCCCACCAACAGTGAAAGAATGTCCCTTTCCCCCCCACATCCATGCCAGTGCTAGTTGTTTTTGTTCTCTTGAATGTGAAGGCAGCATGTCTTCACCCACCTTCCCTACCAGCCTCCACCAGGCACATGGTGGGATCTCCTTAGCTCTAATGAGAAAGGGACCTGCAGTCAGTCATGCTGGGTGGGTATTCATGCATAGGTATGTGTGTATGTATGTGTATATATGTGCATGCACACGTGTGTACATGTATGTGTGCACACATATGTAGGTGTGTTTGTAAGGGCATGAGGGTCACATGCTGCTCAATGTGGGGGAGATGTAAGAAGAGTCCCCAGACAGAAATTCTGAGCACATAGCCGGAAGTAATTCCTGAGTACTGCTGGATGTGCCCCCCACCGGAAAAAAAAAAAAAGGTATCACAGAGTTTAAGGCACTTGCCTTGCATAAAGCTGATTCTGGTTCAATCCCTGGCATCACCTGTGGTCCCAAGCATAGCCAGGAGTGATTCTTGAATACAGAGCCAAGAAGAAGCTCTGAGCACTGAGTCAAGAGTGGCTCCCATGCAGTGTTGGGTTGTGGCACAGGTAACCCTAGGCAGTTGAGGCCTGAACTGCACCACATCCCTGCTCTTTGTGCTGACACACTGCCTCCTTCAACTGAGAATGGCTGGAAGGAGACTTGGGCCTCCTGAGAACCACTTGGGAGACCTCCCCCACCCCAAAACATAATTTTGCCAAAAATAAAGAAAAAAGTGACTTTAGAGTTTGGAGTGTAGTTCAGTGGTAAAGTGCCCACTTTCATGTGTGAGGGTCTGATAAAAAGGGTCAGGGAGCGGGCTCAGAGAATGGGAGCACTAGCTTTGCACATGGGAGCCTCAGGCTTCGTCCTTGGCACCATCTTGCTCCCTGAGCACTGCTGGTAGCACCCTGCTCCTAACTAAAACAACAAACTGAACAATTTTGTATGCGTCTGTCTGTAAGAGTGTTGGCATAGATGGAAAACTCTATATCTGGAAATATTACTGAGGATTACTGAGGATCGCTGGAGTGATAGCACAGCGGTAGGGGGTTCGCCTTACAAGCGGCCAACATGGCCGACCCGAGTTCGATTCCTCTGCCCCTCTCGGAGAGCCCGGCAAGCTACCGAGAGTATTCGATATGCCAGACACAGTAACAACAAAGTCTCCAATGGAGACGTTACTGGGCCCGCTCGAGCAAATCGACGATCAACGGGAGGGCCTTTACCTTTTTTTACCTTTTATTACTGAGGATTGAATCCAGATCAGGCGCGTGTAAGGCAAGTGCCCTCCCCTCTGGACATCTCTCAGCCCACCCTGTACTCTCACCAGACCTCACAAATAACTTCTCTGAAGCTCTTCAAATCTGAAGATGTCTTTATTGAATAAATGTGTGTCTTCCTTGAGTTTTTATCTGGGTGTAGAACATTAGGTTTAAAATGTTAAAGCCATTTTCTCTTAGCTGCGAGGTTAATGTCTTTTGAGGCTAATGTCTTTTGATTCCTGTGTTTTGGAAATCTGACTCTTTTTTCCTCTTTCTAAACACAGTGGAGATGGTTTCTTTTATCGTAGAGATATGTACATTTACAATTATAAGCCTAAAATGGGTCTTTAACAATTATTTAACTTGTGCTGACTACTCTGTAGATGCTTTCCATTTAGAAATCAATACTTTTCATCCTTCCACTCTGGGGAATTTTCTTGTATTATATTTCCCATTTCATTTTTTGTTTCATTTTGCTTTGGGGCCACACTCGGTGATGCTCAGGGATTACTCCCAGCTCTGCACTCAAGAGTCACTCCTGGTGGTGCTTGGGGGATCATGTGGTGCCGGGATCAAACCTAGGTTAGCTGTCTGCAAGGATAGCGCCCTCCCCACTGTACTATTGTTCCGGACCCTTCCTACTTAATCTAACCACCTCCATTTTCTCTGTTCCGTTGTCTGAGATCCCCTATTAATTAGATGTCAGACCTCTTGCATTGATCCTCTAATTTTTATTATTTATACTGTTCTCAATTAATATTTTCTCTTTCTCATTCTCACACACTCTCTTGCAAATCTTTACATTTTTTCCCTGCAGACTATGAATTTTCAGAAACTGTTTACTGTTCTCTCAACGTCTTCTCATGTAGCTTTTCATAGATTTACCTGGGGGTGTGTTTTTCACATTGCCCTAGAGGGTTACCATCTCTCAGGTGCTGTATTCGGGATGCTGGTAGGGCCCTAAGTCAGCGGCACCCACCAAGTGCAGCAAAGTCACTCGCTAAGTAACCCCAGTCTCATCACTTGTTTCTGGGGCTGTGGAGCCAGAAGGTCCTGCTGAGAAAAGTGGTGTCCCCGACTGCTTCTCTGGACCCAGTGCCCAAGCCCTCCTCCTCTCTTTCAGGGAGCTGTGTGTGCCCAGCCCTGCCCACCAGGGACGTTCGGCCAGAACTGCAGCTACGACTGTCCGTGCCACCATGGTGGGCAGTGTGACCACGTGAGCGGGCGGTGCCACTGCACAGCGGGATACATGGGGGACAGGTAAGGCCCCTGTTCTCGGGCACCCTCACTGGTCTCGCTCTCCTCAACCAGGCTGCCCTGCAGAGCATGGCTGAGCCTCCCTGCCTGCTTCCCTGAGACCCTCACAAGCCTCTGGGCCCTCCTGCTCTTCCTCCAGCCCAGACTCCCCAATCCTGGAAAGGGGGTACACACTGACCACCCCCACCTGTTGCCTGCCTCCTGGAGCAGAAACCATCCCACAGGCTCCTGCACACATCCGCATGCATCCTGCATATATCCTGCACACTTTCTTTGAGAATTAGGTTTGATTCCTGGTCTAAGTTCTGCCCAGCCTCTCCTGGCATCAACTTACAGCACACAAAGGTCCATGTGGCCACAGAGTGGACATCAAGGCTGTCCTGGTCCTAGAATCACACCCGCCTTGCCAGGAGCTTCACCAGGAAGCGTGGGTGGCTAGGGGGTCCCTGCTGGGTGTAGGGCCCTTGCCCAGGGCATGTTATGAGGACAGGTGGGTGCTGGGAAGGGGGAGAGTGGAGCAGGCTCAGTGGTGAGGGGATTCTCAACCCACGGACCCCAGCCAAGTCTCCCTCCACCCCACTCCTGTGCATGCATCCTTCGCAGGGAGTGGGGAGAAGGGCCTCAGTGGTGCCTGCTGAGCCGGTCTCTCTTCCTGGATTGTCACTCTGCCATGACAAGGTGACCCCAAAAGAATGTTAGTTCCTGCCACCTCCCTGACCAGAAAGCATCTGGAAACAGTTACTGAGACTGTATCAGCCAACGAGTCCTCGAAGCTCTGGGGCCTGAGGTAGTGCAGGGGTTAAATAGTACAAGAGTTAATCATTTGGGCCGGAGTGATAGCACAGAGGGCAGGGCATTTGCCTTGCATGTGACCCACCCGGCTTCAATCCCCAGCATCCCATATGGTCCCCTGAGCACCACCAGGAGTAATTCCTGAGTACAGAGCCAGGAGGAACCCCCTGAGCATCACTGGGTATGACCCAAAAAGAAAAAAAAACCATTTGTCTTGCATGTGGCCAACCCTGGTTTGATTCCTGGTACCACATTATGGTTTTCTGAGTGGCCTAATGAGCACAGAGCTAGGAGTGATCCCTGAGAACAACTGGATGTGCCCCCCCCCAAATGATTGACCCACTGTCAAACATAGGATGCAGAGCTGATCTGAGCGCCAAAGTCCATCCATGTCCTTCCAGGGCACGGTGCCTAGCTTCCAGCCTTCATCTCCCCCTGGTCTCTTCCTGAGGTTGAATGTGTGTGGGATGTGGCAGGTGAGAGTTGGCCCACTTTCCCATCCTCTCCCTCACTGGTGTTAACAAATACTCAGACTGCGCCAGGCCCCTGAAAACATGTTTCCATCTGCTCTCGCGAGACTGGGCAGGCAGTCCATCACCTGCAGTGGGCTGGTGTTGAACCCTGTCTCCATGGTTGCCTAGATTGTCACTGAAAAACGGAAGCCAAAGAGAACCATCCTCAGAGTTCCTCGTGTTGGGCCTGGCCAGTGTTTCAGCATCAGAGATGTCTCCAAGGCCTGGGCCCTCTTTGGCCAATTTTGCCATGGAGTTTCATGGCAAGGCTGGCTCTCGTCTGGGCTTACCACTTCACCAGACAGCCTGGAGTTGACATTCCATACGGATTGCCTCCATTCATTTTGTAGGTGGCAGCTGCATTAGCCCGCCCCAAATCAGGGTGAGCATATTAAAGTTGAGTGGGTGTAATAACGCGGGCCTCCCCGGAAAGGCAGCCCCCAGCACCAATTAGACACGAAACGGAACGAGGGCTTTGCAGCTCATTTTGTGATTTAATTGAGCAATGTATCTGCTTGTTAATGGCAATATCGGACACATTAGATTGATATGTTGTGAAGGAAGGATGTTTAAGTAGAAAACTAATTCCTGCTGTGATTACCCTTCTGTTCCACAGGCCCGTTATTAGCGTGCTTTGTGGAAAATTCATTAGCAGGCGTTGCTTGATCTCTAAATAAATAAGTTGTTTAAATTGTAAGTAGGAAAAAAAAGAGAGAGCGAGGCTGATTATGTAAATGGATTAGGGTGTCAATATTTCATCTCCAGATTTTTTCTTTCTGGGGTGAAAGCATGAGCACTTCATAATCTGGCAGGTGGGGAAGTGCTTGGTGAGGGTGAGGGTCTCTGGGCCCATCCTGGAGGGCACTGGGCATGTGGAAAGTCTGGGGGGAAGGAAAGGACCAGAAATGTCCCCCAACATGGACTTCCTTCCAGACATCGGAGACATCTGGTTGGACCAGACTCGATGACTGGGGCCCTGGGGGGTTGCTGCTGAGTCCAAACAGGGGCTTTCAACTTAGTAGGAGTTTTCCAGGCCTAACTGCTGCGCCTACTGCCCCAGAGACCGCCCGTCTCCCCCATTACTTCCCTTCCTTTTCTCTGTCTTCCTTCTCCAAACACCCATTTCTTCTTTAAAAAAAAATTTTTTTCAGGGCTGGAGCAATAGCACAGTGGGTAGGGTGTTTGCCTTGCACGTGGCCAACCCGGGTTCAATTCCCAGCATCCCATATAGTCCCCTGAGCACCACCAGGAGTAATTCCTGAGTCCAGAGCCAGGAGTAACCCCTGTGCATCGTATTTTTGTGTGACCCACAAATCAAATCACAAATCATCCTGTTATTCGTCGATTGCCTCGAGCAGGCCCCAGTAACGTCTCCTTCATCCTAACCCTGAGATTATATTCAAGGCTCTTTAGGAGAATGAGACCCATCATTGTTACTGGTATTTGGCATATTGGGTACGCCAAGGGGAGTTTGCCAGACTCTGCCCTGTGGGCAGGCTACATTCGGTAACCTGCCAGTTTGTCCAAAGTAAAATAATAAAAAAATAAATAAAGGCCCTCCCGTTGATCGTCGATTTGCTCGAGCGGGCCCAGTAACGTCTCCATTGGAGACTTTGTTGTTACTGTGTCTGGCATATCGAATACTCTCGGTAGCTTGCCGGGCTCTCCGAGAGGGGCGGAGGAATCGAACTCGGGTCGGCCATGTTGGCCGCTTGTAAGGCGAACGCCCTACCCGCTGTGCTATCGCTCCAGTCCAAAGTAGGAATGAGATAATAAGATGTCATAATAAGATGTCGCGCGGCTGCAAATGCGGCCGCGCGGTTCCGGGAGTGTGTGACCCAAAAAGAAAAAAAATTTTTTTCCCAAATTTTAGAGTGTAGATAGCACAGCAGGTAAGGATCTTGCCTTGCACATGGCTGACCTGGGTCCCATCTCCAGCTCCCATTATGGTTCCCTGAGCATGACCATGAATGATTCTGGAGGACAGAGCCAGGAGTAAGCCCTGAGAATCACCAAGTATCTTGGCCCAAACACCAAAACAAATTTTATTTTCATTTCATTTGGGGCCACACCTGGTGGTGCTCAGTGGATATTCCTGACTCTGTGCTTGGGGAGGGCACAAAACCTATGCTCGGCCACCTGAGCCGTCTCTGGCAGACTGTCTCCCTCTTCCTCCCTCTTCCTCCCTCTCCTCTCTATTCTCTTTACCTCCCAAGGCTCAGCTTGCTGAATGCCGCATGATGCAGGGACAGGGACATGTGGGCACTGCGGACTCTGGGCTGACAAGGGTCCATGTACCACGTGGGGCTGAAGAATGTCTGACTGTAGACCCAAAATCTCTCTGGCTGGGGGAGGGGAGGACAGGGGGTTGTTTCTAGGGAAGAAGGCCTCAAGGCCAGGCCCCAGGAGTCCTCCTTATCCTCCCTCCATCACAGGCACCTGACAGAGAGGCCCGTGCCCACCACCCTGGTTTCTCTTCCCTGCTAGTCACTCAGAACTGAGCTCTTTCTTCTTGCCAGCGCTCTGTTAGGAAAGACACTACATGGAGTCATTTCGGAGACCCCTTTTTGCTTCTTCCCTCCCCATTATTGCAGATTTAGCTAATACCCAGACGGCCCAGAGCCTGGGGAAATACAGCAGTTAAAATAGTGTTCCATGTCTGCTCGACTGTCTGGAGTTGGGGGTTTGCATGTGTTTGGGGGTTTTTTGTTTAGTTGTGGCTTGCAGGCCACCGCTGGTGGTACTCAGGGCTGACTCTTGGCTCTGAGTATTCCACTCCCACTGTGCTGTCTCAGGCCCCTCAGTTTGGGGTTGTTTGTTTGTTTGTTTGTTTGTTTTTTGCTTTTTGGGTCACACCCGGCATTGCACAGAAGTAATTCCTGGCTCATGCACTCAAGAATTACTCCTGGCAGTACTCAGAGGACCATATGGGATGATGAGTCATTGAGCCTGAGTCAGCCACGTGCAAGGCAAATGCCCTACCCGCTGTACTATCACTCCAGACCCTTGGTTTGGGGTTTTGCAGTGCTGGGGATGGAACCTGGCTCTTCCACCTGTGAGGCACGTGCTCTACTATTGAGCCACATCCTGGCTTTGTGAAATGTGGGAGTCTTTCCTTGGAGCTTGTCACGGCTGAGTCAGAGGAGATGGTCAGAGGAAGTCAGGGAGCATGAGTCTACTCGGTGACGGAGATTCATTAGGAATCTTGCAGGCGTCCACACATCCCCTCTCGGGTCCTCATCAGTCACTCGGAGGTGGTCTCAGCATGAAGAAGAAGCTGTGGTCTCCCTCGCTCTTGTGGGAGTGCTGGTCTGGACCTGGATTGGCCCAGCCCCAGGCCCAGCGCCTTTCCCTCTGCCTGGGCCCAGCACTGCCCACCTTTATGCCCTTTCACCCCAGGTTCATGCCTTCACAGCCAGGATCAGCTGCTGGATGATGAGTTTGCATCCCTGGGGTAAAGGTATTGGGGTGACCAGAGATCCTCTGTCTACAATCGGGGTCACCCGCACCCACAGGCTTCCAGTGAAATGGGCTCAAGGAACTCCAAAGACCAGGCCTGAGCGAGGCCAGACACAAAGGGATAATAGAAATAGCTCCCATTGCTGGGGGCTGTCCTACCTGGGAGCAAGGACCTCTCTTCTCCCCAGAGGGTCTTCCACTTTGACAGGGGGACCCTGAATCTTCCCCAAAGACCAATAGCTAAAGAAGCCAGAGCAGAAAAAAAGGTACCCCATTTCATCAACTCTGAGATGCTGCCAGTGAAGGACGCACTTTTAAACTTCTAAACTGAAAAAGAGAAAAACACTAATAATGATGGCACGCCACTAGGTATGTGACAGTGATTATGGGACTGTCAGGATTTAAAAAAAAATTAGGGGAGGAGCTGGACTGATAGTAAAGCAAGGAGGGAACTTGCCTTGGATGTGGCTAACTTAGATTAGATCTCCATATGGTCCTCTGAGCACAGCCGGCTGTGGCCCAAACCTCCCCCACAAAAATCCACAAGGGCAGCGGGGAGCAGAGAGATAGTACAGCATGATGTATGGCCTCTAAGCACAGAGCCAGGATGATCCCTGAGCACAACTAGATGTGGCTCCCAAAATCAAAGGAAACCCCCAAACACAAGACTTGTTGTTCATCGGGTACAGAAGCATCATTCCGGGATGGATACAGCCCAGTTAGAGAGGCAGGAGCGCAGGGAGGGCCACTAGGCACGGCACTCAGAAATGGTCCAGCAGGCAGGAAGGTGGTACAGGAGGACAGCTCGTGCCCAGCCCAGCACTGCCCACCCGGCCACTGCCCACTGGGCCCTACCCTGATGACCTCCCGTCCCCACTGGGGTCCAGCTCCTGGACCAATCAAAATAATTTGTTGTTGTTGTCTTCTTGGGCTGGAGTGATAGCACAGCAGGTAGGGGATAGGGCGTTTGCCTTGCATGCAACTGACCCGGGTTCGATTCCTCCACCCCTCTTGGAGAGCCCGGCAAGCTACCAAGAGTATCCCGCCCGCACGGCAGAGCCTGGCAAGCTCCCCATGGCATATTTGATATGCCAAAAACAGTAACAACAAGTCTCACAATGGAGACATTACTGGTGCCCGCCTGAGCAAATTGACAGACAATGAGAGGACAGTGCTACAGTGCATTACAGTTGTTTTTGATGATTGGTTGGTTTGGGGGCCACACATGGCGGTGCTCAGGACTTAGTCCTGGCTCTGTGCTCAGGGATCCCTCCTGAAGGAACTCAGGGGACCATATGGGATGCTGGGGATCAAACCCAGATCAGATACATGCAAGGCAAGCACCCTACTCCTGTACTATTGCTCTGACTCCAAAACGTTTTGTCATTATTTTGGGGTCACACGTGGCAGTATTCAGGGGTTACTCCCAGCTTGGTGATGGGTGGTTGCTTCTGGGGGTGCTCAGGGGACCATGTGGTGTGGGGGGGATCATGCTCAGGCCTCCTGCAAGCAAAACATGCACCCAGCCCCTTGAGCTCTCTCTCCAGCTGCATGCTTTCTTCATGAGAGGGCAGGAACACATCCATCCTAGAATCAGTTTCATATGATGATGCAAATTCAGGGTGAGGGGCCTGGGGAGACCTGGCAGGAAGAGAGAATGGACCAGGGAGACTGATAAATCAAGGAAGGCTTCCTTGAGGAGGTGAGAGAAAGGAGGAAGAGGTGAGGCAGCAAGAGGGAATCCATCAGCCCAGGGGGACTTTCTGGTGAAGCCCCAGCCTCACCTCCCCACTCTGCTGCTTCACAGGTGCCAAGAGGAATGCCCCTTCGGGACCTTCGGCTTCCAGTGCTCGCAGCGCTGCGACTGTCACAACGGGGGCCAGTGCTCACCCAGCACGGGCACCTGCGAGTGTGAGCTGGGCTACAAAGGGCCCCGCTGCCAGGAGCGCCTGTGCCCCGAGGGCCTGCACGGCCCCGGCTGCAGCCTGCCGTGCCCCTGTGATGCCAACAACACGATCAGGTAGGAGCCAGGGCCCGTGGGGACCAGGGGCGGGGGAGAGAAGCCAGGATCCTGAGGGGGAGGCTGGGGTTACATGGACCGGGGCCGGGGTGGGGGCTGCAAGGTGCTGGGGTCCCTCTCAGAGCTCAGAAACCTCGACATCCAGCCCAGCCATCTAGGCAGGTAAAGGACATGAGAATGGGTGCACCCAAGGCTTGGGGTCGGGAGAACTCGGGCAGCCTCTGAAAGCCCGGCAGGGCCAGGCACGCACAGTGACTGGGAGAAGTATCAGGCCAGGAGAGATGGCGGGCCAGGCCTGTCCTGGAGAAGGTCCTGTCCCAGTGCTCTGTATCTGACCATGTTCTCCCGCAGCCCAGAGCGCCCAAACCAACACGCCGAGCCGAGCCAAGCCAAGCCTCAGTGACAGAAGGGACCAGAGGGACTTAAAGAGTCAGAATGGGGCCAGAGTGATGGATGAGAGTGGAGGGTGCTGGCTTGCATGCAGCTGACCTGGGTGTGAACCCCGACACCACCATGGTGGTCTCCCAAGTACCCCAGGAGTCATCCCTAAGCACTTCTAGTTGTGCTTCCCCACCCCTGGCCAAAAAAAAAAAAAATGAGAGAAGGATGGACAGGGGCATGGCTCAGGGGCAAAGGGTGCTTTGGCCTCAGGAAACCGGAGTTCCCTCCCCTGAACACAACAAAATATCATCTGAGGGGCATGGCTTGGGCTAGAGCAGTCTCTTGGCACACTGAGCACCTCTCCTGGATGTCTGGGGAACCTCTGGGCCTGCTCCTGCTTCCCGGAGAGCCTGGATCCTAGAAGCAGGGGCCACCCCAGCCGCCCACCCCATTCTCACATCCGCTGGGGCTGCCCTGGGAGGGTCCAGTCGGGGGTAAGACTGGGGAGTCTAGGGACTAGAGCGATAGCACAGCGGGTAGGGCATTTGCTGTGCACGTGGACGACCTAGGTTCGATTTCCAGCATCCCATATGGTCCCCAGAACACCGCCAGGAGTGATTCCTGAGTGCAGAACCAGGAGTAACCCCTGTGCATCGCCGGGTATGACCCAAAAAGCAGAAAAAAAAAAAAGACTGGGGAGTCTCTTTTCTTCCTGTGCAGCTGCAGGTGTGCAAGGCTGACCAGGAGACCGTAGCTGAGCTTGGCCTTGACCTTTCTCTCCAGCACTCTCTCTAGGTGTCACGCTCTGAGTGAGGCTGTGCTCCACGGCCCTCGGTCCCCGGCACTGAGTGGGCTGGAGGCTGCGGTGTGGGCAGAGTTGGGAAGGAGACAAGGGAGGGGAGACTGGGCAGGGTGCTGGACATGTCTCAGCTGAGTGTCCATTCACTCCTTATTCCACCTAGTGAGGAAGTGGGATCCCTGGTGGCCAGTCCCCCTCTCAGGAGTTCAGGGACATTCACCACTGTTTCCAACAAAGGAAAATGCTCCCAGCTGAGTTTCTGCCTGAGTAGATGGTAGAGCATGTGCAGGACCAGAGAGGGGGAAACGGGGGGTGGCGGGGAAGTGCCTCTCACAACCACGAGAGGTCTGTGCTAGCCCTGCTGTGTGCAGCAGGAAGTGCTGCCGGTCAGGGAGGGCTTTCTGGAGGAGGCGGTAGCAAGGGCAGAGAGAGCATTCCAAGGCCCTCAATCTGGCATTTCCACATGCCTAGTCGGGTGACCCTGGGAAGCAGAGCTGCCGCTCAAGTCCAGCTCTGGGAGAGCCCCTGCCGCGGAAATCCAACTACCCCGCAAATTACAGAGCAATGGTTTCCCTCCCTCTCCCGGACAGCCGTGCCTTGCATCGTTTATCTCTCCGCTGAAGGAGTTCCTGATGCATTATTAATCAGGGAGGACTCCCTCTTCTCCGCCGCTAATCTCAGCCCATCCAATATTGATGATTATTTGCTTTACTGTCTGTAACGCGTGTTAGGTTTCGCGGGCTGGAATAGAGCTGCTTCTGGGTGTGGGCGCCTGGCCGGGGGGCTCCCCTGCCCTAAGCCGGGCCTTCCTGCTCGCAGGGCCCAGCCCAGCCCAGCTCCTTGCTGTCCTGGTCCTTGGGAAAGGCTCCCCGGTTCCCCCCCTGAAACAGCCGTGCCCTGCAGGAGGAACATGCAGAGTCAGTAGTTTCATTGCTCGGCATTTTATCTTTCTCTCTGCTCTCCTCTCCACCCCCAGTGACCAAGCCTCCACACCTCCAGGCCTCTTCATTCGAGCTGGGAGCTTTCTGGGGGCCAGAGTGATAGTCCAGCGGGTAGGGCACTTGCCTTGCACGGAGCTCCGGGCACCCCAGATGTTTCCCCGAGCACCACCAAGAGTGATTCCTCAGTGTAGAGTAGGGTGTAACCTTTGAGCATTGCCGGGTGTGCCCCCAAACCAAAACAAACTAACCCGGGCCTTCCTGTGCCCATTCACTATAACTTGGGACTTCTCCGCCTCACCCCTATTGGCATTTGGGTTGTGCTGATGCTTTGTCCTGGGCATTGTGTGATGGTTAATAGTCACCCTATTCTCTACCAGGGAGGCTATTTCAAAGAGATGGGGTGCAGGGGCCTGGGGGAGGGGGGGTAAGGAGTGATGGGGAGCTCCCCACTGCTTACCCCCTTTAGAGATGCTTTGTAACAGCAGAATGACCTTGAGAAAAACACCCCCCTCTCCCAGGCCACAATTGGATTGTCATCGACCAATTCCAGCGGCCACGATCATGCGAAACCTTGGAAAGATTTGATTTAGCCGACAGATTCAGCATTGATAGAAATCTCAGAGCAGCTGACAAGAAAGGCAGAAAAATCCCTGCTGGAAAGATTTCTGTATTGTTCAGCTTTTGGCTCCTATTAACTTGTGATTAATCTGTGTGCTGGGAAAGGAGGGAAGACAGGGGACTGGGGAGATCCCAGACAGTAATGGTTGTGTTTTTTTGTCTGAGCTGGCCCAGCTGTCTCCTGCTGCCCTCCGGTCCAGGGAAATGTGCCTTCCTTGCCATCTAGCCAAGGAGGGCACAGTGGGGCAGGGGCTCCAAGAGTGGGGTGATTGCACTGAGCCTTGTTTCTAAGGGACTTTTTACAAGAGATGACCAGTGGTGGGAGTATGAAATGAAAATGGGACTCTGGTCTAAAAAGGGCCGGAGCTTAAATAGAGAAGGGAGGACCAAATAAAGGGTATTGGGAAGATTCTCCCAGGATGGGAGTAGACTATAGACCAAACATAATTGCCACTCAATGCCTCTTTTGAAAACCACAGCACCCAAAAGGAGAGAGAGAACAAAGGGGAATGCCCTGCCACAGATGCAGGGTGAGATGGGGGGGTGGGGGGTGGGAGGGATACTGGGATCAGTGGTGGTGGAGAATGGGCACTGGCGGAGGGATGGGTATTCGATCATTGTATAGCTAAAACCCAAGCACAAAAACGTGTAAATCTACAACTGAACCTTATGGTGTTTCACTAATAAAAATCTAAAAAATAAAATAAAAATAAAAATAAATAAATAAAAGTAAAACAGGGCCGGGAGAATGCTGGCTCCATGGCAGGGTGCCTGCCTGGAAGCCTGACGCCCTGGGTTTGATTCCTAGTACCGCCCCATGTGCCAAAAGCAATCTTCATCTCACAACAAAATGTGGGGCCTCCAGGACCCGTCAAGCCAAGAGTGTGAGGCTGCACACCCCTGCTGTAGAGCTCTATGGCTGAGTGTGCGAGCATCGTGACCAAGTGTAAGCAAATGCCAGTCCCCGAAGCAACAACTAAGGAGAGAGGTACTAGGGGCGGGAAAGGAGGAAGAGGGGCTGGAGTAGTAGTGACAGTGGGGAGGGCGCTGGCCTTGCACAGGTTTGATCCCCGACATCCCATAGGGTCCAGTTAATGCTATGGTTTTATAATATGGGAGTGAACTGACTCTAAAATATTTACTCCTGGGCATCCATCATATCTACTTGACTTAAGCTTCATTTGCTCCTAGGTTTATCTAGTTTAGAGATAAAACTCTTACTTTGTGGGGCTGGAGCAACAGCACAGTGGGTAGGGCATTTGTCTTGCATGCATACTATCTGGGTTCGATTCCCAGCATCCCATATGGTTCCCTGAGCACCGCCAGGGGTGACTCCTGAGTGCAGAGCCAGGAGTGACCCCTGTGCATTGCTAGGTGTGACCCAAAAAGCAAAAAAAAAAAAAAAAAAAAACACCTCTTACTGTGTTTATACAAAATGACTAGAAATATTATTAAGAAGTAAATTTAATATGATTGTTTAAATAGATTACCAGTAAAGGAAAGAAGAAAGAATACACCTTTAGATGGAATTCTATCCTTCGGAGGATCTCCTAGCAGGAGTCTAGATTACTGGAGCCCCTAGATGGAATGCCACCCTTGGGTGCATCTCCTAGAAGAATTTCCCCTGAAGGAGGGGCTTTATATTCGTTCATTGCTTATGTTAATGTTTAATCATACTTATGTGTAATTGCTGACTCCGACATCCCAACCCTTCATAATTTCGAGGGCTGGAGCGACAGCATAGCAGGTAGGGTGTTTGTCTTGTACGCTGCCGACCCAGGTTCGATTCCCAGCATCCCATATGGTCCCTTGAGCACCGCCAGCAATAATTCCTGAGTGCAGAGCCAGGAGTATCCCCTGTGAATCACCAGGTGTGATCCAAAAAGCAAATAAAACAAAACAAAGCAAAACAAAAACCAACCCTTCGTGATTTCTCTATAATAAAGCTGATGGATTTGAGTAAAGTGCCACTGGTTACCAGCCTGTGGACCCATTCCTTCTTCCATCAGTCGGGGGGACAGTCATCGGCCCCGAATGCACCAGGGATCCTGGTCACTATGGGACAGTGACTCAGACAACTAGTGTCCAAACAGGGATGCTTCAGATTCAGACAGAGATGATTTCTGCTTTGAGTCACTTCGGGCTCCATAAGGTTTTCTTGAAGTTCTCACAGTCAAAGCAAAAGTTAGCAGTGAGAGTCTCCTTCAGGGCAAGCCAGAAGGGGTTCAGGGATACTTTAAGTCACCCAAGAGCCTCCATGGGCCTTTTATTTGTGTTGTGCCGAGTTTCACCCCCAAAATCAAAGGAGAGCATGCTGACCTGTCCATCAGCAATGTTGCAGAGAACCTGACCAAGCTGGGAAACAGTGCTGGACCAGGTGAGAAGGAGCTTTAGAAAGCTATAAGTCGAAGGGAAAGGATGGAAACGATATTTCTGCATACAGAGCAAAGGAAAATGGGGTGCAGCCACAAAGGGAGGTGTTGATGCTGAGAAGGGCCAGATAAAGAAGGACAAGGAAGATGATGAAGAGAACGAGGAAGAAGAAGAAAATGAAGAGGATCGTGGCGCGCTCATGCATCACACAGGCTCACTTGCAGATTAGAAATAGGTCCGTGGGCTGCCGAGTGCTTTAATAACCCGCTCACATATTATTTATTATTATTTAAATTGCTTCCATTTTCCACTGTTATAAATAATGCTTTGGGGAACATCTCTGCGCATCTATCTTTCTCTATAACTGTGATTATTCCCCACAGATAGTCTTAGAAATGGAATTATGAGACCAAGGGGTCTATTTTTAGGATTCCTGATACAGAATCCCAAATTATCTTCCCCAAACCTGTATGGACCCAGAGTGATGTCGCATGTTAAAAACCTTTATTGTTCTAAAAGCTGAAAAGTGGAACCCAGTTGAGATTTTTGCATGAGAAAGCACCTATTTCCGCAAATAATCATTTGCTGCTTCTCTCAGTTATGTTCCAAAAATATGAGGTCCTGGGGCGAGAGAGAGAGAGAGAGAGAGAGAGAGAGAGAGAGAGAGAGAGAAAGAGAGAGAGAGTACAATGGATAACGCTCCTACCTTCCATTTGACCATCCTGGGTTCAATCTCCAGCATCCCATATGGTCCCCCAATCTCTGCCAGGAGTGATTTCTGAGCAGAGCCAGTAATAAGCCCTGAGCACTGCCAGGTTTGGCACCCTCCAAAAAGAAAAAGCCCAAAGCGTTGGTCCTGTCTGCCTCTCACTTTCTCTGAATAGCAGGCTGGCCAGCACAGAAGCAGCTTGGCGGGCACAAGGTCCGGCCTCGGGGGTCCGCCCCCAGGGCTCCGCTGCTCCTCTGGGCTGTGGGGTGCCTGCGGAAGTCAGCGAACCAGAAGAGGCCACCACCAGAACAGCTGGGCCTGGACACCGGCAGACCCTGAGTCTGCCAGTGACCAGGGCACAGAGGCCAAGTCCTGGCGGACCATATTGAAGGGACCCAGCGCTTCCGTGGGGCTCCTACCTGCCGGAGCGCACGCCCCCGTGCCCCGCGTCCCCTAGCGCTTGTTCGTTGGGGTTTTCCTAGAAGCTGATCCCAAGTAAAGAAATGTGCAGCTTGTGAAGAGCTGGCCAGAGGGCGGGGGACAGCAGCAAGCTGGGTCTGATCCCTGGGAAGGGGGCGGGTGAGACCTCGCACTGGGGGCGGTTCTAGGAAGGTCTCCAGATGGGGCGCCTTATGCCACCCGACCCTGCGCCAGGCTGTTTCATTAGGGTCGTCCCAGAGGCGGGCAGGTGAGACCCCTCCCCGCCCCAAGGGACCCAGCCCTGGCAGCCGAAATCCTGGACCCTGCAGGGAAGCTTTTTGGGGGGAGCGATATCTCATACCTCACACCACTCATATTGCAATAGTAGCGCACCACATTAGTTGGGAGTTAACTTAACAACATGTTAGTGATCTCTTAGACAGGGGCTTAATAGCCCCTGGGTGAAATACAACAATCTTCACACACTCTCCCCTAAGGAAAGATTTTTGAGCATTTTCAGTGGTTTGTTCATAACAAACAATACAAAATAAATTCTTTGTGTTCTGCTCTCAGGTGGGGGATGGGGTTTGGGATGGAAACATCCATGGAAACATCCAAATTATGGTGGTGGGAAGGTGTATGTTGGTGGGATTGGTGTTTGAATATTAAGTGTAATCAAATATTGTGAACTACTTTATAAAAATAAAATTAAATTTTAAAGCAATGGGGTGTCTTTCAGGCAGTTTCCCCTCAGAGGAGCCCCAGGTCTGCGGGAAGGAGCCGAGCTCAGCCTCCTGTCTGCTTGCTGGGAGCAGCCCCGCCAGGCACAGAGCTGGGGACACGGATCCATCACAGGGAGCCTGGGCAGCCTGCCGGGGAGGGTGGTTTTACTGGGTCAGCTGCTGCCAGCCAGCTGCCTCTCTTGAGGGGGCTCCGTGCTCTCTGCCTCCAGCCGGGTTTGCTTCCGCCCCTACCAATGAGGCTTGGAGATGAGCTTGCTGGTTCCCTTTATTATTTTAAGTTTGGGGGCCACTCTCGATGATGCTCAGGGCTCACTCCTGGCTCTGTACTCCGGAACTAGTCTTGGTGGTGCTCAGGAGACCATGTGGGATGCCGGGGATGAAAGCCAGGTCAGCCGCTTGCACGGCAAACACCCTACCTGCTGCACTATCGTTCTGGCCCTAAGAGCTGGCTGGCTCTACAGGGGCCTGGACAAAGTGCAAATGGGAGGTGTCCCCTCCAGTGTGGACATGGCCAGACAGAGTGGCCATGCCAGCCCTGGGCCTTGCTTGGCTCTGCACATGATCCAATCCTGGCAGATGCTTCAAGGGCACTTGTTGGGATGCAGAGGTCCTGGTTCCGTTCCAGCACCGCCTGGTCCCCCCACCACTGGGTGTAGCCCTGATGGATCCCAGCACTGCTGGAGAGACCACTCACTCCCCCCAACACACACACACACACACACACACACACACATACACACACAGAACAAGATGAACCAAGAGGCCAGACTAGACAGGGAAGTAGCTCCAAGAGCTGCTGAAGCAACTTGGTATGTGGAAACTCCGGGTTAGGTCACTGGCACCGCATGGTCCCCTGAGCCAGAGCTGAGCAACACGCGCTCCACTCCCCTGCCCGCCAGCCCAGACTGTGCAGAGTGGCCAGGCTTGCTGCTGTCCTCTGGCCTGGCCCAGACAAGGTGCCGCTGTGGGCTTGGGCCTCATCTGTGAGCAGCAATGAAGAGGCCTTACTCTGCTCCATCTCTGCCTATTGGTATTATAACTTTCCGGGGAGTCTCAAGACCCACACTCTAACCCTGATTTTACCTCTCCCATAGGCAAGTAGCCCCAAGAGCCTCCATTTCCGTTTCCTGGGCCAGGTTAATCCCAGAGGTGCTGGGCCCTGCCCTGGAATGGGAAGCAGGGGTGCGACTGGCCTTGCACCTCACCAGACTGCTCTCTCATCCTTCTCTTCCACACTCAGCTGCCACCCGGTCACCGGAGCCTGCACGTGCCAGCCGGGCTGGTCGGGTCCCCACTGCAACGAGTCCTGTCCTGCCGGCTTCCACGGGGACGGCTGCCAGCTGCCCTGCATATGCCAGAACGGCGCCGATTGCCACAGCGTCACGGGCAGCTGCACCTGTGCCCCAGGCTTCATGGTAAGATGGGGGGGGGGGGTGCCCATGAGAAAGGACACTGTCTCCTCCACAGCTGGGGTGGGACTGGGCCCCTTGGAGATTGTCCGTGGCCAGTGCATGTGGAGCTAGGGTGGTGGGCTTTGAGGGTGCAGACCTGGGAGAGTCTCCTCATTGTTCTCCCCCCAAGCCCCAGATGGTCTCCTGTGTGCCCAGCCACTCTCCGCTCCATCAGTCCACAAGGTGTTTTGTTGTTGTTGCTATTGTTGTTTATTTGGTTTGGGGCCCACGTCTGGCAGTGCTTACCTGGCTCTGCGCTCAGGGATCACTCCTGGTGGGTTCAGGGTACAATGCCAGGATGAAATCTGGGTTGGCTGCATGCAGGGCAAGCGTCCTCCCCTATCTGAGCAGTATAGTGCAGCGTCCCCACCCCCACCTGGCTGTAAGTGCACGCGCGCGCGCGCACACACACACACACACACACACACACACACACACACAGAGTTTTGCATCTTCCTTTCACCTGGCTTTGCTGCTTGGGCTTCTGAATTATCACTCCAATGACTTCATGATATGGTCCCAGTGACCCTTTCCATCCCTGAGTGTTGAATATTTATTTCAACATGGAAAATATGCATTTTCCATGTTCGCTGTGAATGTTGCAAGACCATCTTCACTGCCTCCCCAGGTCTAAGGTCTCTGGGCTGAGTTGAGCTAGCCCAGCAGTAGGCACAGCACGGCTATGACCGATGCTGCTCCCCTCCCCCGCATCGTAGAAACCTTCGCTGCCATCAGCCACCAGGGCATGTACCTGAGTTCAAAACAACTAGGCGAACATTATTTCTTTTTTAATTTTGCTAATTATATAGGTAGAAAATGGTTCCTCTGTAGCTCTGATTTCCATTTCTCTGATTACGACGGAGAATAAACCTTTCCCCCACGTGCTTGTTTACTCTTTGGCCCTGCTCATGAATTATGCTGGTCTTTATGAGGCTGCTGCCTTGGGAACTTCACGCTGCAGAGGGAAGCTTGCGCCCAGCCGACCTGAGGTCAGGCCGTCTCTGATGCGCCTGGTAATAAGCCCCCGGGAGTGGCAGGGTCAGGCGGCAGATGAGGCCTTCATTCCACTGGTTCTTAAACTTTAGGGGACTTCAAGATCTTTGCGGGGGGGCGGTATTCTGTTCCCATAGCTCTGGGGAGGCTGAGCCTCTGCATTACCGCCATTCCCAGGTGACAGGTGGAGCAGGGTGCATGGCCACGGGCTGGACTCACCTCAAGGAAGCTGGGGCAAGCTGACACTGGAGCCAGCCCCCTCCATGGCTTGCCTTGTCATTGACCTTGATTTGGTTGGGGGAGGAGGGAACCACTCATCACAGAAAACCCCTCCACAAGGTACAGGGGTGAAGGGTCTTTTGTGACCAGTGGGGTCTGAGTCTGTCTGTATGTCTGTGTCTGGTCTATGGAGCAAGACTCTTCCTCTCCTGACCCAGGTGATGAGACTGGCAAGAGGAGCCCCATTGGGGTCTCCCGGAGGAAAAGAATCTATCCAGGGCCAGAGTGACAGCACAGCAGAGAGGGCACTTCCCTTGTACGCGGCCAACCGGGATTCAACCCCCGGCACCTCATATGTCCCCTGAGTGCCACCAGGAGAGATTCTTGAGTGTAAAGTGAGGAGTAAATCTTAAACATGCCAGGTGTGGCAAAAAAAAAAAAAAAGGGAAGATGAAGTCTATCCGGTTGGTTGTTCCCCTGGTCACCTGCTGTCCCCATGAGGGCTCGGTCTGTACCTCCCACGAAAATCTGCAGCACCTCATCTGGGGCTGCCCTGAGAGAGAATTGCTCAGGATAAAAGTCTCCACAAGCCATGAGCACGGGGAACTGGGCTAGGCAGTTGTGTGTGAGGCCCATTCTTGTCCTGCAGGGCTGCATGGTGGCCTGTGGCTCAGGGCCCTGGCCCAACTCGCCCATGTCACTGCAAGTGCTGCAGGGGGACGGGCTGACTCCTCAGGCTCTGAACTAGGACCTGGTCAGGAGATGCCCTTAGGGAGATGCCCTGTGTGTGAGCCAGAGGAGGAACCAACTCAGGGTGTGAGTGTGTCTGTATGTGTATGTCTGTCTCTGTCTGGATATCTGTGTCTGTGTGTCTGTCTATGTGTATCTGTCTGTGTGTCTCTGTATGTTTGTGTGTGTACATAGCTGTATGTTTGTATATGTGTGTCTGTGTGTGCCTGTCTGTCTGTGTTTATGTGTCTGTTTGTCTCTGTGTGTCTGTGTGTCTCTGTGTCTCTGTGTGTGCATGTTTGTCTGTATCTGTATGTCTGTCTGTGTGTGTCCATGTATGTTTGTGTGTCTTTCTATGTTTGTCTATGTGTGCCTGTGTCTGTGTGTGTCTTTGTGTGTGTGCCTGTGTCTGTGTGTGTCTGGGTCTGTGTCTGTATGTCTGTGTTTGTGTGTGTGTCTTGTTTGTGTCTGTGTGTGTCTCTGTTTGCGTGTGTGCATATCTCTGTGTATCTAGGTCTGTGTCTGTGCATGTATGTGTGTATGTGTATGTGTCTGTGTCCCTATGTCTCTGGGCTTCTGTGCACATATCTGTCTCTCTGTGTGTGTCTGTCTGTGTGTCTGTATGTCTGGGTATGTGTCTGAGGGGGCCCCGAAGGAAGGAATGTCCACAGAGACTATTGTCATCAGATCCTGTGGGCTATGTGTGGCCCTGCTTGGGTCCCCCCTCCCCCATTGATGCCCTCATCCCTCCTGGCTTGCCCAGTGCTCGGGGGAGGGGGAGGAAGCCCTAGGGAAGCTTGGCAGCTGGGCCCAGCTGACACCCTCTTCCTTCCCACGGGGATGCAGATGACTTGAACTCAGGGGAAACTGAAGCTTGTGGAAATCCTCTCTGGAGTCCTACTGCTTAGCACTTAGGGGTGAAGATGGAGTTGTGAGTTGGGCCGCCTGATGACACGCCCTGAGTCCCCATCTCTCAACTCCTGCCTGGCTTCATTAGACTCACCAAGGCTTGGGGGGGGGAGGGGACCTGTGGGATGTTGAGCAGTGGCTACAGCTCTCAGGGATTAGTGGACAGAGGAGTCTCTCCTGCATGCACCCACACAGCATGCTCCGCCCCGGATCCAGGCGAGGGAACAAGGAAATGAACGAGTGACTGTGATTTCCTGACATGAGCTGGCTGAAACCGGAGACCCTCCCCAAAATATCCTGTGCTCAATAACCACCATCAATACCTTTGTTGGTCAGTTTGTGAATTCACACACTTACCTTTTCCCTTGAAAGATTTCCAGGAAGGGCAGTAAATCAAAGACTAACCACAGGAGCCTTTTCTGAGTTTCTGGAGACTGTAGTTCTAGCCAGCCACCGTAGTGCCACTTGCTGGGTCTGTGTCCCATCAGCTCTGAGAGGAGTGGCTTCAGCCCTGCCCTAGTGCCTGAGCAGCCCATCTTCACTGTCCCTCAAGCGCCCTCCCACCCTGTGTGTCTTGGAGCAGTTGGGAGGATGAATAAAAACGGAGTTCCTGAGGGCTGTAGGCTGCTGGGTGGGAGGAAATCTAATTGGACCCATCCAATCAGACGCATTCCCTTGTCCAAGGATTTGTTCCCAGTAGTGACCACACTGACGCTGGCCACGGGCCCTACAGTCTAGCTGTTTGCTTTATCTCTGCTCTTCATGGTGCCCTGTGGCACTGCCTGCTCCCGTCCCTATCTGCCAGTGATGAGTCCGAGAGCAAAGGAGTGTTTGCCTGGGTCACGAGACCCAGTGACAGGTGCCGCCACCTCGCACTCATCGAGTGGCAAAGCTTTGACAGTGAGGCCCCGTGGGCCCTGCAGTACTAAGTTTCGTGCCTGGCCTGAGCCTGTGTGTTCAGATCTGGTAAGGGGAGGTGGCCACAGACATGAATAGCTTCAGATGAGAAGTTCTCTGCTCAGTGCCTGGACTACAGTGGACACCCAGTGGAACAGGAGTGAATCTTATGGGACCTTGAGAATAGTGGGGTAACGGAGCTTTTCCAAAGCCCCAAATACCACTTCCCCCCCTCCCCCCCGGAGGGTGTCAGCGTGTACAACCTCCAGTGGTTTATGGAGCAGAGCTGGGGACGTGTCTGACTGAAATGCATTAGGGCCGCCCAATGGCAGGAAGAGTTCAGAATCGGGGACACAACCAGAAATAAGGTTCCTAGATCTGGTTCTCTGAATTCCAGAGGCTTCCACGTCTCACTGTAAAGCAGGAATAGCTTCCCTGAGGGAGCAAACAGTAACAGCAACTTCTTACCCAGGCAGGCTGGCCTCAGCACCACGGACAGCACCGGGCGGCCAGGCCTGAGAACAGGGGCCTGGGCTGGGAGGGTCCCTCTAACTAGGATCCAGAATATGAGGACCCTCCTCCCCCTCCCCCCTTCTTAACATCTGCCAATCAAAGCTCACCCAGCCCAGTTCTTTGTGACCTGCCCCCGTTCCTGAGTCCACTTAAATCTCATCTCCTGCCTAGCTCACCCCAAGCCTGGTCAGCCGTCCTCACTCATGCCCAAACACAGTGCCTGCTCTGGCACCTCTGCTTGACCTTTTTCTCAAGCTTTCTCCTGGCCCAGAAGGCCTCCAAGCCCATCCCACTGTCCCTGTTTCAGCCTGTAAAGCCCTTCTAGGCTACAGTCCCAGGGATGCCGCCTCCAAGAAGCCTTCCATGGGTTCCCCTCTCCCAAATGTAGCATTAGCTTTCCTCCTCCACCACTTCGGGGCATGTCCTCAGGTATGTCCCCTCCAGCCCGGTCCCTGCTAATGCCTCTGTCCCAGGTCTGCCATGTAATGATGAGAATTCTTGGGAGAACAAAAAATGTCCAGGACCAAGTAAACTTGGGTGTTTCTCGAGGGTCCCCGCAGCAGGCAGGGGTGTGGCCTTGCCTGCAGTCTCTGCCACTGAGATGATGGACACCTGCAGTGGAACTACAGCCTCTGGCCCTGGATTCCAGGCCCCATGCAATACTGCTCTGGAGCCAGAAAGGCCACCTTGCTAAGTACCCCATG